AATTAATCATATTTTTCCCTCTTCCTCTGTTGCTTGGTAGAGAAACAGCATTTGTCCCATCCTGCATTTTTTCTCTTTTCTTTCAGGTTTTATACTATATCCTTTGCTCCAATGATCTCATTCTTAAAAGACTTGGTTCTTAAATTCCTTTTGGGCCTTTATCTGCCTTGTGTTCTATCCTCCCTGGAGAAGCTTAGGAGTCCCATGTCTTCTTTTATTTTAGCCCCGCATAAATGAGTCAAGAAAACCTCAGTGATGCGAAATCATCAGGAGTAAAGGAGAAGGAACATTTTCACAGATAGATAAAAAATTAAGACCAAAACCTTTATATGTCTTGATTCAAATGATTATTAAAGACCCAAAATAAATCCAGGTATCATACGAATTTAGCTTCCTGAGAAATTCAATTGATTATATGCAAGAGTATATGATAGATAGAATTAAGTGGTGAATTCAAACTAATAATACTGAAAATAGTACTATCCAAATGCTGTTATTTCCAATGGGTTTTTTTTATTTAAAGCACCACAGTACAGATGCAAGTAATGATTGATAAACTTTCACAAAAAACTTTTTTTATTTATACATTAAAAATAAAATGTGATGATTCATATATTTAAGATTAATATGTGGCTGAAAAATTGGATGTTTTGATTGAGAATTGTTTACATGTAGTATGTCTTTAATGACATTTGTGTTACATCTCATACCTAAGCCAAGAACAAGTTGTGCCATGTTAAAGAAAACTCCTGCACTAGAAAGTCACATATATGGGCCTGTCACAATCCAGACTTCAACATAAGGTGCCTGCATCTACTTGAAAAGCTGATCCATTATTTTTCATTTACATTTTTGCATATTAAATAATAAGATGTGAAGTGGTTTAACTAAAAACCTTACTTGCATTTTGTACACAAGATTATCTGCAGCTGAATTGGTCATTTTGATTAATAAGACGATGAAAGAAAAGTTTAATTTAAACTAAAGTTCACCCCACCCAATCAATTATAGGGATCTGCATGAAATGTGCACTCATATATATCACTTGTTGAATCAGGAACTCTTGAAAATGAGCATCCAAGCATAAATGTATTTAATAAAGGCTTAGGGTGTTCCCCACAAAAACAATCTCTCACAAATTTAAATAATAGGAATGAACACTATTTATAACATGAAGGAAAGCAAAATACTTTATAACCAGTTTCTGTAATTCTTTAATCCAGAGAAGTAGAAGCTTATTTACAAAGTGAAATGTTACTATGGTTAGAAATAGCTAGCACTATTTCTAGAGATTGTTCCAATGATGTAATCTTCCATGTATTATATTTTAGAAATAATGCAAATCTCTCCTTCAAATTAGTCCATTAATATAAGTTTTCGCCATAGTAATGTTGTTCCCTACCTATTGAAAAATACCTTACAATTTCTTCTGTTATTAATTTACATTATTACATTTGCTGTAGGGAACTTGATCAACAGCATATAAAAAAATATTATATAAATAAATTTCTGGAATCAATTAAAATTCATTTTTCTTCAGAACATCATAAATCTAATTTATATAATCATCAGATAATCATTGACATTGTTTCTTCAAAGGGAATGTGTCTATCTATATACATAATTGAGGAGGAAGAATTACTGGAAAAAATGTAATATGTATTAATTTTATGGCCATATCCTAAACTGGGGGTCCCCAACCCCCAGATCAATATCTAGCCATGGCCTGTTTAAAACCAGAAGTAGCGGGTGAGCATGCACACAAAGCTTCATTTGTGCGAGTGGAAGGGGTGCCATCCCACTTGCACAAAACCACCCCCTCTCCTCCCACATTGGTCCATAAAGCCAAAAAGGTTGGGGAATGCTGTCCATGTGTGTGTGTGTATATGTGTATGTGTGTATTCTAATTCTAAATATTCTAATAAATATTCTATGTTAGTATGTTAGAAAATTACTGTGTGCCAAAAAATGAGATTCTTTTAAAAAACCATGCATATAATTAATGTATAGTTCACTTCTACGTACCATCAAGAGACATTTTTAAATGTTGACAATTCATAAAAATCACCATTTTTTAAAATAAAAGCTTTGGAGAACACATATCACAGACCTATGGTTTGCTTCTACTCTCTATCAAAATCTTAGATTTCAGAATTGTGGTGCTGCTGTTGCTCTTGAATGAGGTTTGGTTGAGCAGTTCAGTTGCACAACACCACCTAATATTTAATCTCAGTTGTTTAATATACTTGCCACTGTTTTCATAGGAAAAGGAAGGACTAAGTTTCTACTACTGAAATTTTTGTAGCTTATAACCTAATATATTTGTATTTCATTCTTACAAGAAGATAGTTTTTCTAAGCAGAAAGAAACCCAACCTTTTTCCATACAAAAGTTTATTACTCAATCTTTTGGAAGCATGCCCTCATACATTCCATTCTAAATAGATGTGTGATTTTAAATTTGAATACAGCAATAATCAATTCACGTACAATAGGTGTGGCAAATCTAAAGTGGGTCAAATCCACTTTATTTCTAGCATCTATATTTTATTAATTATTAATTTAGAATGTGAAGCCAATTTATAAGTGAATGGTCATTTTTTTCATTTTCCACATTTATATGCAATGTATTCTTTATTCATTCATTAAACCGATGCTGAATGATCCACATATACTAGCCAAATTAGTACTGCTGGTTTCAGTGAGCAAGGTTACATTAGGCCCAGTCATTTAAAAATGAACCAACATACTACTACTGCAGCTCAATATTGACTAAATATTTCTAGCCATACTGCTATTGTCATGATACAAGTCTGTACAATATTTCAAAAGTTCATGGTTTGCCCCGGGCAATTAACACTAACATTTTAGATTGCCCCCTTAAACCAAACATATCTACCACTTACAATCATTTATTTACACATCACAATAGTCAAATCTTTGCACATATATACACAAATGCATTCTATACAGTTGGAATGGAAAATTTCTTTGTTGATGGGAAGTGTACTGTATAATAAATGGCAGAATTAATTGAATGAATTTTTTATCAGTGTTAATCCACCCATCAATGTTCACATGTTATACAAAATCTTGATAGGTAAAATATAAGCTTCAATTTCTCCATTGGGATGAAAAAAAAGAGAAGAGTATATTAAATATATACCGTATTTTCACAACTATAAGCCGCACAGAAAATCCTAAAATTTGATCCAAAACCGGCAGTGCGGCTTATAACCCGGTGCGCTTTATATATGGAAAAAGTTTGAAAAATTAACGTTAATT